CTAAGTTAGGCTCTGTTCAGAGAATTGTGGTTGTAAACTACATGCAGCTCTGTGTGTTTTCCATTAGGTTTAGTTCATGATGCCTATGCATATGTTTTTGTGTGTTGACACATATTTTACATGCATTTTCTTGCATTTCTGTTTTTAAAAACGATGGATGTTTTCATTGCACAGATGCTTTAAAATATGCAAAAATGCATTGTACTTGAGGTTTTGTGCGTTACCTTTCATTCCTTTGAGCCTGAAAATGGGTGCTTATGCTGAGAAAATGGAGCATGAATTTTTAAAAAGGAAACTGTCAGAATAGAAATATGGGAATGTCCCTTACTAAGTCATTAAGATAGTCAGATGTAATCTAAAATCTAACAATTGCCAACTTCCAACTTCCTAACCTCCCAAGCTGCACACAAAATAGGAGTTGACAGACAGATTGTTAGACTTCAGGTGACCTCTGTCCCACAGACCTAAACTGATTAGATATTGGGGGGGAATTAATGAAGGGTGTCTGAGAAATACTTTGCCTGAACTGGAGTGCAGCCAATCAGATTATACATTTGAATTTTCTGTGGGCCCGTTTACATCAGATGCGTTGGGGCGCGTTTACATCAGATGCGTTAGGGCACGTTTACATCAGATGCGTTAGGGCACGTTTTACAATGCAGCCACAACGCACAGAACAAGGACATTTGCCTTGTTTCAAATGGTTTCAGTTCACACCGCGGCAGTATGTGCCTAAAAAAAAAAAGTACTGCATACAGTACTTCCTTTCAGTGCAGCATGGTGCAATGGTGTACAATCACACTGCGCTGTGACTGATAGAACTTAATGAAATGTAATTCGTGACATTTCAGTAAAGTTTTATCTAGAAAAAAAGTAAGCAGTGCAAATTATACATTTGTTCTTGGCCAGCTTGCAGAGATATAATAATTAAAGGGTAAATATTAAATTCCCTTATAAGCTCTGTTGTAAGAGTATCTATTAAAAATAGTATTCAGTAGTTATGTGAACAACTGCCAATGAAAAGAATGGGTTTTCCTTTTGTGTAGCAGTTTATAAGTAGTGAAGAGGCTCAATAAACAACAATAAACCACATAAATATTGAATAGGGCATAAATGCCATAAAATTACTATTTATTAAGTAATTCAAATGAAACCTTTTGAATGACAGGTTCAGATCCTTAAATTCTGATGTGTATTTCAAAGAAAAGCTAAATAACAAAGAAGTTGAAATGAGGTTTCACTGTATAGTTCAAGCAGTTTGGATAAACTTGCAGTTGCACACTTAATAATTTGTGTTCATCTGGCGAGTTTGATGGTCTGTGTACTGTTACAACTCGCCTGCCGTTGCCATTGGGCTTCTCTGGATAATTAGCTTAAACATATGATCTGCGGTCACAATAGGGAAGATATTTGTAGCATTTCCTTGCCTGCAGCCTGTAGCACGCTCCTTCTTCTCCAGCTGGCCTCCTGGAATGTTTTTATTGATACTGTACCGTATCCTGTTCATTATGAATGTGCCACATTACAGGAAGTCTGTATTGCAAATATTTGTGATTCTGTTACAGAGCCTGGGGAGTGAAGGCAGGTGTTCATGCCCTTTTATAGTTCTCGTGTCTTTCTCTGTGGGCACCAGATGCTACATAGTACACTTATATTTTAACCGACGATAGACATTTGGGAAAGGTCAGATGTGCATGCATAATCCGACTGTCTCATCAAACTTCCTAAATTAGTTTTCTCCCTAAACAAGAGTGCTTCAGAGGCAAAAGGGGAGAGAGAGGTTCACTTATGCACATTTCCAGTATAAGTGGAAAAGGCTTTTGCTCCCCATGAGTGCTCATTGTTGACTGTTGTGCACTGGCCCATAAACATTGGATCTTTATTGCTCTATTCAAATGGCTTGAATCCCCAGATTGATGAAAACTAGGGATGCACCGATACCAATTTTTCGGTATAAACTATGAGTACCAATATTTTTTTGTACCAATATCAGCATCCCTAGGTAGCGTGGGCCTGGTTTCCTGATTGCCCGGTAAGCTGGTGTTCTGTTGACAGAACACCGGCTTCATGCTCCTTCGTGACACTGCGAGGCAGCCTTGCTTCCTGACCAATCAGGTCATGACCTGACACCCCGGCTTCCTGATTGGCCGGGAAGCCAGGCTGCCTCGCAGTGTCGCTAGGCAGCGTGAAGCCTGCTTCCTAGCCAATCAGGAACCTGGGAGGTGGGTCAGGACTTGCTGCCTGGCTTCTTGATTGTCTGGGAATCTGGCTCCAAGCTCCCGCACGGCACAGAGGGAATCCCCCTCTGACCGTTGGTTCTGGTATCGGGGTAAGTACTCACCCAAATGCTCAGTATCAGTACCAATACCGATACCAGTATCAGTGCATCCCTATTGGAGACTAATTTAAGGGCTATGGACACCTTTCAGTTGTGGGATATGAAGCCTCACTAAAAATACGTATTTCAAACCACACACTTTTTTTCTAGTTTTTGGTTACATTTGCAAAAACTGACTATCGAGGGTCTCTAAAGGTGCCCATACACCTTACGACCATCGCAAGACTTTTGTCTTGCGATGGTCGTATGCTTCTTGAAAGCCCGTACGATCTGCCCACCTTGGACGGGCAGATCGTACTTGCGATCATCGAAAGCCCGCCCCGCTGAGGGGCGGGCTTCCGATGACGGCAATGCAGAACGGGCAGTGTGCGCGTGCGCACACCGGCCCGTTCCGCAGCTATCGGACGAGCAGGCTAGAAACCCGCCGAGAATCGTACGATTCTCGGCGGGTTTTCGAACATGTTGGCTCGACAAAAGACGTGCGACCGTACAGTAGAAACGGTCGCACGTCTTAGTTCACACTGCTCGATTCTCGTACGATCGCGGGATTTCGCCCGATTCTCGTACGAGAATCGAGCAGTGTATGGGCACCTTTAGAGAGTTTTTGTCACACCCGCATGCACTATTTTTCTTTTTGAGAGCTTCAAAGTGTCCCTTTTAATTATATCCAATGTTGGCAACTATGATGTAATGTGATACTGTTATCAAACCAAATACAAACTGACAGCATTAAGCATGCATGTTATGCTACCTGCTCCTAATGTATTAGTGCTGCCTGGTCCCACACAATGTTGGCTTCTCAAAAGTCAGTATTTGCAAAGAGATTAGGCACACCTGCAGTTCCCCTTTCCTTGGCCAATTTGATACCAAGCAAGGGGGAGTGTTCATCTGTGCCCCATACCCAAAAGCGGCAGAATTTTCCAGGGAGCTGTGGAAGTTGAGTGTCTTTTGCATTAGTACAATTGCATTTGATAGCATTAGTATACATTTGCTTTAAGTACTGCAGTATTCTGTAAATCTTTTTTTTATTGGGCATAGCTATACATTTTTCCAGTGAGATATTTCTGCCTTATTCTGTATGCTGTGCTGTACATTCTCTGTCCCACACCTCCCTCCTCCTTCTTTTCACTGTGCTTTATATTCCTATTCCACAGTGACTCATCCTGTACACTGCCCTGGGCTATACGTTCCCTATTTTGCACCGGCTCATTTTGTATGCTGTGCTGCATATTTCATATTTCACACCTTATTCTGTAGGCTGTGCTATACATTCTCTATTCTACACCACCTCATTCTGCACACTGTGCTGTACATTCTCAATTCTACACCACCTCATTCTGCACACTGTGCTGCACATTCTCTATTCCACATTGCCTTATTTTGTTTGCTGTACTTTCTTTATTCAATACTGACTCCTGCATTCTGCACCCTTGAACATACATTCCTTTTTCCACAATGCCTTATTGTGTACACTGTGCTGTACATTCATTTTAACACACACCCTCATTCTGCATGCACCATATGTTCCCTATTTAGTTCTATTTTCCCCCCGGGCAAAAAGATCCCAATACTCCTTCTTATTTTCATCCCACTGATCCCAACAATGGGACTTATGTTACGCACACTGATATCAATGATGGGGCTTATTTTATCCTACTTACACCAAGAATAGGACTTATTTTACTCCAACTGACACCAGTGATGTGCCCTTCTTACTCCTACTTTCTCTTCAGTTTACCCAAAAGCCCTGTTTTGTTTATTACTTTTTTCCCCACCTTTTATAATTTTGTTTTAAAATAATTGTATTGTAAGCACATGGCGCTTGAATAGCTTTAGCCAGGGAATGACAGCTGCCAGAGGGAAGATTCTGCAGACGGCAGCTGAATGTAAATGCAGCAGGTAGCGGGCTGGTGCAATAGCCAGCCTGCTATTGGCCGTTTCAATTTGCAATAGCCGATAGCAGGCTGGCTATTGCACCTGCCTGCTGCTTGCTGTGTCCTCCTCCCGGCATTAAGGAGAGAGCTCGGGGATCCAACCAATGAGTCGATAATGAGAATAGTTGACAACTATTCTCATAATCGATTGTTAGCATTTAATTGATTTGTTGGTTGCAGCCCTAGATTGGAGGCATGTTACATGGGACTAGTAGAGATTGCTGCTGTTACCTATGTCCACCCAAATTCATGCTACCACTACAATCTGATGGGGCCACACAAGTACAAAAGCCCTGCATGTGGCCCTTGGACAGCAGGATGGGCGCCAGGAAGTTAAAGTATCCTTAGCTTCTGGACAACCAATTCCACAGGTATAGTAAGTTAATTAGAATGATACATAGAGCACTGATGTTTAATAACAAAGTAATGATCCTTATTCACCTTTAACTAATTCTTAAATAGGCCATTTAATGTAGGTATTTTTTGTAATAGCATAGTAGAGCTTTATTTTCTAAAATAAAAAGTATCTGCGTGTCTCATTTCCACCACAAATCAAAAAGATTTTTATTCATCATTTTAGGATAGTGGATGGAGTATGCAGATAGATCCATTTTGGTTCCTTTTAACCCACCTCACTATTCTCTGCTTGTAAGAGCATCAAATTATTTGCCTGTTTTTCTTGATATTGCTTATGAAAGTATTATTTAATCTTTTGACTTTCTTTATAGGCTTGAATGCTTTGCGGAGAAAATTGGGAGAACTGAATAGTCCGTCAGACACTGAAGTGGCTGGCTTGGTGTTAATAACTCTGAACGATTTCATGCAAGCGATGAGTGATGTCAGGCCCAGTGCAATGAGAGAGGTTGCAGTTGATGTGCCAAAGGTAATTAATGTTTAGCACTTTCTTACGGAGAAATAGTCACAATTGGGCGTATGTAGAAATTGGAATATCCTGTCTAAAATACTGTAATTTTGCAGGTTGACATAACATGAAAGATGTACTTGTAACTAAAGGATTTATATTCCACCCTTTTATTTTATTTAATTTTTCTGAGCTTTATATTTTAGCCTGACACTTGCTGGGTTAGCCAACACATATACAGTTGTAATCAAAATTTTTCAATCCCCATTGCAAATCAGGTTTATTGGCAAATTTACAGACTTTCAGCTGTGTGCAATGAACAAATCAAACAAAGCAATTGAAATAGGTCAACACAACAAATGTTTCAAGTGGTTTCCCCAATTTCAACTGAAAATGCAACTTTTAATGACTTCTGCAGTCTCAAAATTATTCAGCCCTTTCATCATAAGCATCTTTAGTACTTTGTAGAGCACCCTTGCTGTTATGACCTGCTGCAAAGGAGATGTATAGCCAGACACCAGCTTCTGGCAGAATTCCTGAGGAATCTTCATGAGAATAAGCCCATTCCTCATCAACAGTGGCCTCCAGTTCACTTATATTCTTGGGTTTGTATGCGGCAACCGCCTTCTTCAAATCCCAAAAGAGATTTTATATGGGGTTCAAATCTTCCAGGACTTATGCAACCAAGCCTTGACAGAATTTAGATATGCTTGTGATCATTGTGATCATTGTCCTGTTGATGCCCAAGCTTCAGTTTCCTCATAGATGGCATGACATTTTCTCTTAGGAGACTCAGTTGACTCCTACAGACTCAGTTTCAGGGCCATTTAAATAAAATGAGATAATGGTATGCCAGGATGAAAATGAGAGAAATGTAGCAAATAGACTGCACCTTTTGTCAGCATGTTCATTCTTGACTGGAGTGGACCTTTAAAACATTGCATGTAGTGTGATATTTTCTGTCCTTGGGTACATATATTTAATAATCACTTGGCTCTTTGCTGAGTTTTGTGTTGCAATCTGGAAAGACAGTGATATAACCACCATATGTAGACCACTGCTATCAGTCTGCAGGTTTTACAAAGGGGAAAAATAATTTCCTCCTCTGGAATAAATTCTGCTTTCCTGTATAGTTTCAGATTCCAGTAACTGGATGCCACAAACTTAAACTGCTTGGCTTTCCAACCTGCACATCTGGAGATGTTGTTGCATGTCTAGTCATTTCTGAGCAATTAATCCATGTAGACTTTTCTCCCGTAAACTCCTGTTCAGGAAAGACGTTTAAAGCTAGTTAAATAAGCAGGTGATCCCTATGTGTTGCCTTTTGGTAAAAGTAGGATTAAGTTTCCTTTGTGGAAGTGTGTGTGCTATTCTGTTTGACACATGAAACACCCGTTCTAAAAATACCACACGAGATCACATATGGTCTCAAAGTTTGACATTACCAGAGCTCTGTGCTCATTACAGGTCCACAGTTGGGCATGCATTGGTTATATATGAGATACGTAGCATCAGGGGAAATCAATCTCAGTGTAAAGTCTCTATAGTTAAGAGCTGTAAGATTAGAAGAAGGAGCATGTGGACAATTATTGCACATCTGCACAAGGTTTTTTTTAAAAAATTGTGATTATTTTGTACTGTGCTGATCATCTGTTTTCCTTTCTCTGGCCCATTGCTTATGCGGGAAATGTATACATAAAAAGACATAACAAAGTAGAGTTTAGTTAAAATTGGTCATCACACATTTAGCATTAGCTAATCAATGTAATTTTTGGTATGTAGCAAATCAGTTTTCCAGGAACCTATGACATTGATGCTTCCCCTGTTGTATACAATGCGTTGATGGAGTGAAAGTATTGCAGACTTTAGTTGATTTAATTGATAGGTTTACCCTCTTCCAATAGCCTAGAAAGAGCATCATCTCTCAGCGATGAGCTTCAAGTGTATGGGATAACATCTACGGTAGAATTGTTACGTGTTTCTCATTCACATAGCATAGCTTAAAAAAAATTACTGCTTGCACAAAATATGCTCAGTTCTCACGGAAAAGTTGTTCTCTGTACTGAATTTCCCTCTGGAATGCAAGGGGATTAATTCACATAATTAACCCTGTATGTACTCTGCTGGCAGATCTTATCAGTTGTAAACTAGATTTGAACACTGTCTGCCCTAACAAAGGGTTAAACATCTAGAAACACTGTGTGGGGAAGCTCATTCTGCCCCTAGTATTTCTATGAGGACAATCATAGTTGACTGTTACTGATAATAAGAGACATATGCTGCTTGCGCATCTCAGTGTACATTCTGAGAATGCCTTATTACCGGGAAAAATGAAGATTTGCATCATCCCAACACAGCCAATCAAAAAGTCAAAGATCCCAAACCTGGAAGGATTTGAAGAGAAGATGCCAGTGCTGTAGAGGAGTTTTATGGACACCACATTGTGCACATGACTGCACATGGCTACATGCCAACCCGGACCTGCAGACTGTCCAAGTGTGCACCCGAACCTGCAGAGATGTGCAGGTTTGGGTCAGCTTGTAGCCTTGTCCTCCCATAGGGATGGAGAGGTGGCTGCACGCAATTACATGCTGCACCTGTCCATCCTAGGAGCAGGTCTCTGCATGGACATGCATGCCATACAGATGTGCATGCCTGTGTGACTGAGCCCTTGAAGTGGAAATATATTCACATATAGTATGTTCCAGCGATGTGCTGTCCACAAGATCCCTCAACTGACATCTTCTCTCATGTGAATGAGCCCCAATAGTATTTATTCAAGTTATTACAAATTATTTTTCTTTATTGGTTCTTTTTAAAGTCCATTGCCACCTTTGTAAGTGATTAGCATTTATTGTGGTAATGTGCAGTGATGTGTGCACATTTTCATGACTCACTTTGCAGGCTTTCTTCATTATTTTATTGACTTTTTATTAGGTCTGAATCCTACAAATTAAAAAATGTCTTCACAGGAAATTCAGTCTGACACCGGCAGTGATTGTAAAGCAGACTTTAAACAGCTGCCCCCCACCCTGTGATTCTGTGTAACACAATCACTAAATGCCAGCTCAGCCTTTACACACAATACACTGTCCAGGGGGGTTGCCACTATGAATACTAATAAATGGGGGGAGAGAGAGCTCAGGGAGAGCTCAGTTGCAATATACACACTTTGCTTTCAGAGCACAGAGGGGGCTTTAAGCAGTGTTCTATTGCTCTTCTGTGTCATTGCACAGGTAAACTCCTAACCTAATGTTTCTTAACTTTATTATATTGTACTCCTTTTTTGCAAAAGATATTTACCAAGTATCCCCTGGTATGTGCCATTTTATTTCACATCCCCCTAAACTGGATACATTTAATGATTGTAGCCTCCTAAGAATGCTAGTTCTTTCCAAAAAAACTTTGGGCTTTAAAATAATCACAAAACTAGTGTAGCCCCTACCACCTTCTGTGGAGTGACTACTAGACAAATTTAGTAAATTGCCAGAGCTGTAGTCAGTCTGGCTGAATTATCGTTTGCATTTATTTGGTTCATTCCAGGTGTTCTAGCACCAAGGCCTGGGGGTAGGAGTGCTCAAGTGTGGGAAAAGTATCACTAGGCCTCAAGCTTGGAGGAGGCCTTTGTTGCTGATTATGGAGAACTACCAGGGAAGCTTTTGGCTGCTGAGGGTGCCTGAAATAGAGTGGACCTGAGGAGCAAGTGTCTTTCCTGAAGATCTCATGCCTATCCCTCTTCAGCTGTTGCTCAAATACCCAGGGACAGCGTGTGCTCCTAATAATCCTGCATTGTGGAATACTGAAAGGGACTGGTGAGTCTGGAGTCTGTCTGTTTTTGCCCTGGATGTTCTAAACCCTAAATCCTCTCAGTTCAGATGTGTTAATACAGTTTTTCAGCATTATACTTCTGGCCTGGATCTCAGCTTTGTTGGTCACTAGAAGAGGGCGGTTATTGCCAGTGGGGCAGCTGAATGCTAATTTCCCCTAGACAGGACATAAATGACCCAGGCTATCTGGCTGCTACTTTGGGGGTGAGCGCTACACTGGTATACTGAGTTTGCTTTTACAAACAGGATTAATTCTTAAACCCTTGGGGGTGCATGTAGTGCATGTTGAGAAACATTATTGTAATGGACTTACCAGCAGGCTTCAGCGGCCTATAGACATGCAATGCCAGTCAGAAGATCCTATGGTGCAAGGATAAATGGATAGTCATACACAAAATTCAGCACAACTTACAGGAGCGGTGGTTTATGCCAGGAGGTGCTCCTGTTCTCTCCTGAGAGGACAGGACTCTACAGTACTGCACATACATGTCTCCCTGCAAGTCAGAGAAATGGCTTTTCCATTAGGGCCAATGAAGAGTATGTGCATTGTGCTGCGGTCCTGCTGTCTGGAAAGGGCATTGCTTATTTAGTGAGTGGTTCCTGCGCAGGTTTGCCCTCTGATCTCAGTTATATAAAAGGGAATATACCTTCTATGGAAAAGAAAAGAGGATTCATTAGGTTAGGTTATTTAAAAGAATAGTTATGCTTTAACCCTTTCGCTGCCAAGCCCTCCGGAACATTTTTCAAATCAGCTGGCCAAGCCATTTTTGAATTTTCTGCAATTTTTTCCTATTGATTTGATTTTCAACTGCTGCGTTGCTAGCGTTTGTAAAAGACCCCCCAAACCATATATTTTCTGAAAGCGCAGGCCTGGTAGAATAAAAAGATGCTGATACTAAATTTGTAGGCCCTGCGATAATTGCGCAAATGTTTCCCAAATCAATATTAAATCGATAAAAATACACAATTCAATTGTTAAAACACACCAAAATCAGTATACGTGCACAAAAAGAATTATTTTCTGACAATCTAAAAAATAAAACTGTATTGAGTTAATAAATAACAAATATTAGCAAATTTGTAATTGAAAAGGGTTAAAGGGGAAGTAAAACCAATAAAATAAAAAATGACTAGGTTCCTCTCTCTTGCAATGATTTTTACATTTTCTCAATACACTGTAAGGCGAGTGTGCAATGCAGTGCCCACACTCAGCCCATTCATGGCATCTCTAAAATGTATACTTTGCATACTAGCATATTAGGGCAAAAACCAAACAGTTACAAAATGGTTTACTTCCGCTTTAAAGGCAACTCTAAGAAACATACTCCACAATTATTCATTTGTGATAATACCTAATGGTTTTATGTGATATTTATGAACTTTCATCTTTCTTTCTAGGTATCATGGTCGGACATTGGAGGGCTAGAAAATGTTAAACTTAAGCTAAAGCAAGCAGTAGAGTGGCCTCTAAAGCACCCTGAATCTTTTATTCGCATGGGTATAGAGCCACCAAAAGGCGTCCTTCTCTATGGTCCTCCAGGCTGCTCCAAAACCATGATTGCAAAAGCGATAGCGAATGAAAGTGGCTTGAATTTCTTGACAGTAAAGGTATGGAACGATAACAGTTCTTTACTTTAATAATGTTAATTTTTCATATTGCCATTAGCCTGTTTTAATTAGCGATACCAGAGAGGTAGTCTGTAAGTTAGATTGTTTTTAGAAGCTTAATTATGGCCTCCAGTTTCTTTGGAAGTGATCTAGATGTTTTTGCCAGATTGTATTTTCTTGTTTCCTAAATTAATGATTATGCTAATAGGTATTAGAGATCTATAATAGAGCTAGAGTTCTATAATCATAGTGTTACATAATTAAATTCAAAAATGGTTTTCTAGGTGGTAAAATAAGTAATTATTGGTGAGAAGTATGAGCAATAATAGGCAATCATTTTTTTACTTGTATTGTTAGAGCCATATATTGTTAGAATTTTATTTGAACTTTTGCTTGGAATCATTTGTCAGAGCATTCAATTTGAAAGCCCTTAAAAATGTTATCCAGACCGGTTACGTGAATGAAATCTCAGGTTTATTACACAAGTTTCTTTTGTGCCTATCACATGCACATTACAATATGTATGATTATTCCTGAACAGAAATCACACTTACAGTTTGAATTTTGTTCGTTCCTCAATACTGTATTAGAAATACTGTATGAACCAATGTTCTGAAAACAAAAATGTTAAAACAAAATTCTAATGGTGTATGGTAAGCTTTATTCTTTCACATGTGGTACAGTACATTGCCTTAACTGGTTTATGCAATTTCAAAGTAAGAAAAATTACTATATATATTTCCAAGTTGTAATTGTTTCAAGATTATTATCCACTGGTCCATGCATCGTATTAAATATATTTACTGGCTTTACAAAGTGCTGCTTATAGAAATCTAACTTTGGGATTCGAATCTTCCTGTATCAACTTCATCTAAGACTTGGCCATGCCTCTTCTGAGTAATATGCTCTAAAGCTGGGTATACACTGGTCAAATTTGGGCCAAGTCCTGCTGACTCGAGCAAAATACAACCAGTGTGTGGACCTGTTGGGGCTTCAAATGTTTATTTGTAAAACTGACATTATATACCGTACATGTAGTAACAAAAAAAAGATAAACAGGGCTATTCACAAAAGGGTGAAGAGTTTGGAGAAGGCAGGAGAAGGGAACAATCTAGGACAACATAGCTGAACTGGAAAGTGAGCTGAATTGGAGAATTTTTACAAACCAGTTATTTTGTCCTAGATTGTTCACTTCTCCATCCTGATAGTCCAAGAATGAAAGACTCAAAACCATTAGTGGTTTCCCTTTGACCACTAATCAAATTACCACTTCACAATATTTTGTAGTCTGATATTACAATATTTGGTGTTTTGTGTGCCTCAAAATGTAATAAAAAGGTTACATTTTTGGGGGGGAAAGTAGGATTTTACAATGACAATTGTGTGATATGTATTTGGGTCCACAGACATTTTTACAAGAATTTCTGATATGATGCAGCCCCTGTTTTTCCACAGTTTACCATGTTAAGTGAAACATATGTTTTGCAGTTGTTGTACTTGTTTTTCATCTTGCTGTTTAGTTGTGTGTTTCCTGTGATAATTATTAGTTGTAATTTCATAAAACGTAAAGCTGTACTGGCATTAGATCAAAGTACTTTGGGATATCAGTGTCCACATCTGGTCCTGCAATGACATCTCTGCAGGTTTCCTCCTACAATGACCATGCCAGTAATTATAGTAGATCTTCATTGTGTTGCACCTGGAACTTCCTAAACACGTTTTGTTTAATCCACCTGTTACACCGTATTTACCCTGAGTAATGATAGTTATACAGAGCTGTATTTTAGTGTCCCAGTTCAATGGAACCATTTAGGATATTTGGGAACACATATATGTATGAGTGCTGGTATTGCTACCCTCCTAGCACAGTCGCTTTAGCCCTTCTTTATTTCAGAGTACTGGATGCTGAATTCTCATACATACTGAGTCATTCAAAGTAGCACATATTTATAAACAAGGCACTGGAAAGTGCTTGCCATCAATTAGAAAGGTACACCAAGTAATTCCTTTTTGGTGCCTTTTGTGTCAACCAATTCTGATATCCAGGAAAAAAGGTTTCTATGGAGCACTAACATTGTCAGTTATCGTGTTTCAAAATGTTCTCCTCCAATTCTCCTACAGCTTATTGTCTTTACTATAGAATGTGTGTCAGAAGTTTTACCATACAATTATTGGGGAAAATCTCCTATTTGATGCACCTGTACATGGCATGAGGAACTGGAATAATCAGCACATTGAGGGACTAAGGGCCCGTTCACACCAGATGCAGTGCGTTCCAGCCCGATTCTGGCCAGAACGCACTGCCTCGCATTGCAGCCGGCTCCCTTTTTTGTGGGGCAGGAGGGGGCGTGGCGGGCAATTGAAGTGAATGGCACCGTAGCCACACCCTCCGGCAAGCAATGCGATCGGACGCACCGGACAGCAGGCATCATGTGCCTTGCGAACTCTTGTGGCCGATCGCATTGCGACCAGAGGGCGTAGCTATGGTGCCCCACAAAAAATGCGAGGCAGTGCGTTCTGGCCAGAATTGGGCCGGAACGCACTGCATCTGGTGTGAACAAGGCCTAAATTATTGCCTAAATTATTGCACTGCGCCATCACTCATTATGTGAGTTGGTGTGTCATTCATTTTGACATCCATGGTAGTACATTGCCATGTGTTGTGTTCCCAAAAAAATAGTCTGGTGTGGTTTTTGGAGTGGTTAGGTGTATTGGAACTGGCTGCTTAAAGTGATAAAGTAAAACATTCTGATTAAATCACTTACAATTAAACTTGATGTTTTAAAGGTTTCAGTTTCCTGCTGAATCAGCTGGTCCCCTGAGCCCTGGCCCTGATTTTCTATTTTAGGGTGGCTCCTTTTCTTTTGCAGGGTCCTAAGGAGCCCCCTTTGTGTGTGCTAGCAAGCTTTGTGTGTCACCACAAGCACAAATAGGTAGAAACAGGGACACCGGCACTCCAATTGCGATAAAAAAAAAGTCTATTTATTGACATGATGCAGCATATCATAAATGCAACTAACGTTTTGGGCTCACACAGGATCCCCTTCCTCAGGCAAAGATCCTGTGTGACCCCGAAACATTCGTTGCATTTATGATATGCTGCATCATAACTGTATATAACGGCTGCCATCCGCTGATCACCGTAGCACCCATTTTTTCTTCTTTTGGAGTAAGCGGTCAGGAGTGCGATAGGCTCATGGACTCTCCACAAGCACACAAACACACACACAGAGCTCATCTGAGCTGGTAGATGGACAGCTGCTGGAGATTGCACTGTCCCCTGTGATCTTATATGCAACAGAAAGTTCAGGGAAGTGCAGGTAAGAGAGTTGGATCCAACTGTTTGGAAATGTGAGGACTGTGTTTGGGCAAAAATGTAATACTTTACTGGGCAATGTATATTTGTTTAATCTGCATTCATTACTGGAAAAAAAGTTTGAGAATTTAATACTACTTTAATGTAAGGCACAAAAAATGAAGGGTGTCTGCACATGGCCCAGTAGTTGCAGAGCTAGCTTGTTTTTTTAGAGATGTCCCGTCATGTCACTTTATGACAGCATATGATTATTACCTTCCAAGAAATGTTTGTGCTACATGCAGTAGATGCCGCAATCAGATGTTGGAGTAGTTGTAGAAAGACCATGATGGGTTCAAATGCTCTGACAATGCAAGGAATAACAGGGGAATATCTCACTGCCTATTGCTTTCAGGAACACCTACTTGTCCATAGAAATCTCAAAATCTTTGCCTATCTTTCTCCCCCCCCCCCAAAAAAAAATAAATACATGTGTTTTTTTTACCATTCGTTTCAGTGGCCTGCCTAACACATAATTAACGCACAAAATGCTACATATCTTATTATTTAAAAATACAATGAGCTGCAGCAAATGAACATCAACTAGTTACATAGTTATGTATAGAATTTGCATAAGAAATGCAGTTTTATGTGTAAAAATGCAGTGCAAAACAGGATTTTTTACTTACCCGTAAAATCCTTTCAGGCTTACAGGACACAGGCTTAATTTAAGATGACTGGGGATATAGCGGTATTGTCAGGTGACTGGACACTGGGCAGAGCTGTAGGAGCCTATATAATCCCTTCTACCAAAGTAGATCCTCAGTTATTTTGCAAGCATACTGTACTCCAAAAAAAATATTTTACAGGTAGGTCAAAAAACCTATGTTTTTGATTGTACAATACACAGGCTGAATCAAGATGCCTGGAACATTCAAAAGCAATAAACAGAAGCATGGGCACAGACCTCAACCACCAGACTGCACAGTACAGGATCAAACCTAATCAGCCACCTGCAGAACCATACAGCCAAAATCAGCATCAGCTGATGCCTGAACATCCATCTTATAAAACCTAGTGAAAGTGTGTGTATAAAGCTGGCCATACACTTTACAACCATCGCACGACTTTCGTCTTGTGATGGTTGTAAGGTAATTAAAAGCTCATACGATCTGCCCATCTTGGACAGGCATCGCAAGCCCACCCCCCTGAGGGGAGGGCTTCCGATGACTGCAATGCTGAGCGGGCAGTGTGCGCTTGCGCACATCGGCCCGTTCGGCATTTGTCTTACGAGCACGCCACAAACCCGCCGAAAATCTTACGATTTTCGGCTGGTTGTCCAACGTGCTCGTAAGACAAAAGACGTGCGACCGAGCAGTAGAAACGGTCGCACACCTTCCATACACCTGCCGATTATCGTACGATAATCGGCAGGTCTATGGCCACTTAAGTGTAATGCACGAAAATCTCGGTCCTGCTGCATTTTTTGCAGTGTATGGCAATGCATAGTGAAGAGAAAGTTGGAATAAAATAAGCCCAGTCATTGGTGTTAGTGGTAGTAATAAACCCCAGTATTGGTGTCAGTAGCCACAATTAAAACCCTCTGCATTCATGTCTATTGATGGTATAAAAATCCCTAGCATTGGTGTCAGAAACTGGTAACAAACCCCACATGTGTGTCAGTGACCACAATATTAAACACCAA